ATCACTATGAGTTCTTAGATGTCGCTTTCAGAGATGCTGAGATTCTGTTAAAAACAAGCCCCCAAGTGAATTGATGTATATCATCACAGATACAGCTTAATAAACTTTGCTTTTATGTTAAAAATGAAGCAAAATGTACATTTATCTAACATGTAGACAGTGAATGTGTTTAGCAATATTTTTGGAATATGGTACCTTCAAAAATCTTGATAGAAAGTGACCTGTTAAGATGAGAAAATTTAGATAGATAGATAGATTTGGTTCTATTTGTGTCATACATATATCATTTCTTATCAGTATCTCAAGGTTCTATTCATTAGCTATGGACGTATTCATGTTCCTTGATTAAATGATCATGCTATGGCATGTCTAAATGAATGACTAAGTGGTATACTATCTTGGAATATCTCTCCTTTCAAAGATTCATAGAAGTCTCTATCAAATAAAGTACAAAGTAACACATTGATTTATAATTAAATATGATTATGTCAACCAAGAAGCCTCATGCTTAAGTGAGGTTAAAAGCTTACCATTACAGCCAGTGAGGTGTGGGGAAGGGTGGAGGCAAAATGTGGCTGTCGGAGGAGTTACTATTCTAGATAGGGAAAATTCTTTATGGGGCAGACAAAATTAAAAGTGTCCACTGTCTTTCCTGAGTGTACAAAATATAGAAAAATATAAAGAAGTTTTAAATATTTCTCAAATCTGGTGAGTGACATCCAGGAGTGAAGGATAGGGTTGAAACATTATTCTACATGTTCAATTTGCAAGATATTTTCAGTAAAGAAAACTTTTCTTATTTCATTACTGATTTTGATTCCCTAAGAAATGATAAAGATCTTAGATGTTCATAATTCCTTCTAGAATTCAACCATGATCATTGTTTTTTACACAGTACTCTTCTGAAGTTACACAGATTAGTGAGAATGTTTAAGTAGAAAATCCGCAAGTAATACTTTTATTTCAGATTAGTTGGATTATATTGTGTTCATTATATTATTCATGATACTAATCAGGTTGCATCATGTGGTAAAACTGTATAGTTTGAATAATTATTATATGAGCTTTCTGATCTTTGCTGAAGAGCTTAAAATTATAGAAAGAGCCTGTTGTAGGATGCTTCTACGTAAAACGTAAAAAGCTTCCCAAAGGAGAAATATATTATGCTTATTCTAAGAAATATGTGACATGGGAGGCATACTAGCATGGTTTTAATAGAATGGGCTTTGAAGTCAGACATTCAGGGTTCAAATCAGGACCCTGCCGTGGTGGGTAGTTGGGCAAGTGCTTCCCCATTCTAAGCCTCACGGAGCTGTGAATTTAAGCGAGATACCGTGTGTAAATAGCTGAGCCAGGGTTCAGGCTGTGGTACATGTTGAATACCTATTGGCCAGCATCTCCCTCTTCCTCCTTTCTCCTCCTCCTCCTCATTGTTGTACATGAAGGTAAGAAGTGGCAGAGAAAAAAATCTACAATTTTAATTTAAAATTACACATATCCTTCTTTATTTCTTACATGTGTTGAGTTAGGTTATTCCTGATGCACAGACATTTTAGCCTTTCATCACCTCAAACTTGAGTTTCATTTTTCAATTGTCTAATTACTTACAATTTTTTTTTAAAAAAAATCTTCATTCTGAGAAGAAAATGTTTATGGACATGAGCTCTCTAAACCCCATTCGTAATCCATGGACAAATCTTCAGTAACATATTTTGGCTTAATTTCACATTCAGCTTTTTCTATGTAGGACAGTCAAATTGAAGGACTCCCCTGATAGCTCTTTGAGGAGGTCACTCAGCGAGAAATGCTGCAGTTTTGCAAATAGCTGGCATAGAACACTTCTGCTGAAGTTTTAGGTTTGGCTTGGCATGCTCAGTTTGAAAAACAGATTATAGCTTTCATCTGTTAACTTTGCAGAGCTAGAAGCTTATTAATACTGAGGAGGATTGATGAATTTCGTTGAAAATTGATGATTGCACTAGCAGTGATATAGTATTCAGATTGTTTTCACCTTTCTTGTTTAAAAGAGAATGAATGAAGAAAGAAAGGATGCACAAATTGGCATTGGATCCACAGAAGGATTGTTTAAATAAGAAGAATTGAGACCTGTGAACTAAGCTTTGCATTTTTCCTTTATTGTGCTGTTATTGCGCTGCATGACCTCAGGTAAAGAGACATGTTGAATTGTACTTGGTGGAAAAATGGTGAAAAAAGAAGACTATAAGCTGCCAGTTCACAGGTGTAGTTGTGAAATGAACTGCAAAAATCATGTTAATCAAATGAATAGTGATACTCAAATATAAGTAAGTAAATCATCACTCTTCTCTCAGAAACAAAAAAAGAAGATACTATGAGTGAATCTTGCAAAGAGAAGATATCCTAGTATGAGCAAAATGCATGGTATGAAACGCTAAATGGAGTGATTGTATTTTGATAGAGAAGCTGACTCCTGGACGGCAGTATAGACTAACTATATTTGGGTAGTACCAAGAAGAGGTGATGTTGCCTAGTCCACAAAAGCATGTTTTTTAGAGCCAGACTGACCTGGGTTCCTTTTCTTGTTCTGCCTTCAATTAGTTGAGGCAAGTTGCTTTTCTTTTCTAATCCCTATTTTCTTCATTTGTAAAATGGGCTTACTAATAGTATTTGCTTCGTATGGTAATTATGAGGAGTATATGAGAAAATGCTTGCGAAGTGCTTAGCACAATGTTTGGCACAGAAAATGCCTTTATATAATAAATGAGATCTGCTAATATTATGTCTATTCCCTTAGCCAGTAAAGTGTTGTCTAAAGAGATACTGTGATTTGAACTCATAAGTTCTCTGCTTACATTATTGTATGCCAAACAACATCTGATTCTTCATCTCTTTAACCATTTTGTTCAACAGCAGCATATTGTGACAGAATTTTTAGTGTAAATGAAAAATGAGACTTCAATATTTACATGGAATTTACTTGCTCATTAAAAATAAAGTAACTAATTAAGGAAATCGTAGTTTGGCAAATGCCTCATTGATTTTAAAAAGTTAACTAAACATCACCTCATGACACTCTTTGAGCAGCTATAGCATTGATGTAAAAGACACCTGGGTGCTACACTACAGTAGGAGGAACAAATATAAATTATGTGTTTGGTAAGTGAATCAGTTCAGCTATTCACACAAGAAATTGTCTTGTTGGGTGGATACAGTCTAAGCTCATATCCTTTAATGGCATTTTATATGTTTTTCATTTAAGCATTACTAGGAATAGAGCTTCCAGGTTTAATGTGCGCTTAGAAGATACTTATTTTTTGTATATGGTGGTAGCATTGTTTTTCTCTTTCCATCCTATTGCACTTTCTCTTCAATGACACAGCATTGTAACGTAGACTTAGTCCCATTTTGCCTACTCTACTGTTTTGTTTTCAGTGCCTTAGGCATGAGCACTGTAAGGCTATTAACCCTTTGGCCTTTGTAGAAATCAAAATATGATCTGTCTAGATGTATATTGAAATTACCCCCTGCAACTATTGAAATTTCAATGAAAGCCATTGTGGTCCCATATACTCTTTGTAGAATATTTTCAGTATTTGGTGTTTCTGAGTGACCAATTTTTGGTGAAAATAGAATTAAGTGTAGAACCCAGAAACACTGTTAGCAAACAGTGATAAGACCAGTATGTTTGGGCATATGAAGATAGTGATGAGGAAAATATTCTAATGATATAAAAGCCAATATAATTATATGTCTGAAAATATGTTTTTAACATTTTTTGTTTTTATTTTTTTCTTAACAAAAGTTAACTGTAAATTAGTTAACAATGTAATTTAAATGCATTGACCTTTCAGCATTATGAGACTATTAAGACATTATGGAGCCAATTTTAATCCAGTGGAATGAATCCATTAAAATATTTGTCTTTGTTTTTTTATAGTCATTTTACTAATTTAATTTCATAATTTTAGAGAACATTTATAATAGGCACAGATCAATCCTCTCTACCCCAATGAAAATGAGGCCTAAGTATTTTCTTTAAGTATTTAACTAGTCAAAATATCCAATATTATTCATGTTCTTGGTAAGTATCATGAGTCCTGAGCCTTCTTGAAGGTCATGGCTTAGCACATGGCCCGTTAGCAGGCTCAGTCCCAGAGGAATACAGTCTTCCCTTTCTGGAGTTCCTGCTCTGTATAAGTCAAGAAACACTGCCTCTTCTCTCACTCTCAGGGAATTAAATCCCAGCAGTTTCAGGACTCTGGAAATAAAAAATGTTGCCTGTTGATCCTAAGGCTTTAATTGGTTCAGTGGTCTTTGGGGAATCCATGGGCCTTTTCAATGCAGACATGGAAAAAATGGTGACGATTACACTCCTTCCTAAACAGAGTAGCTGATTATCTGTAGAATGCTTCACCTTCTGGAAGTAAAGCTTGGCATGACAACCTTTAGAACATGTGTTTTAGGGATTTCCATTTATTCCAAGAACGATATTACTTTTGAAAGGCAAAATCTCCCCTAGAAAGGGCTCTCAGAATAATGTGACTAAATTTACTGGCATTTTGAGGTCTTTGTGTGTCATTTTCTCCCCAAGACAAACTAACTGGGAAGGAGATGCCAAAGAAGGTGCTTTTATGTTGACACTTTATCCACTGATGGTTCTTCAAGTGACTTTGAGGACTTTGTTCATAATTTTCCAGCAACCTGGACAGTCCCTGAATGATTTACTCATCCGATTTTATTCAATTTTTGAGACCCTCACCAAGTATCTATTTATCAAAGTGCTAATGCTGTGAGACAAACATATGGATGAGTAGGTAAAACAAATGCAATTTTTTCTCCAAGAAGAGATGTTATGTTTTTCTTATTTAATTTGGGCATATCATTAGCTATGATTAAAATAAGAAGGACAGATTTTTATTTGCAAGATCTCTCCAGATATAGCATGGTGTGGGGCAAAGGGCATAGAATTTGGAAGGGTAAGTCTAGAGTGAGTATTCAGGAAAAAGGAAATGGATACTTACTAAAAAGTGTCGGGGTACTGTGATCAGTGCTGTACCCATCTTTGGAGTCAGAAGACCTTGGCTCCTCCACATCTTAGCTCCCTGACTGTGGCAAATCTTTAACTGCGTGGAACCTCATTCTCCAGTCTTAAAAGATGATCAGCAACTCATCAGGTTGCTGTGAGGAGCAAATGTCATTGTTGAAAAAGTGCTCTGTAAACAATATAGCTCTAAACAAATATTCACAATTATTATGTAATTTTTGTATCCTGTTTTATTTCCCCAAAGTTTCTGATTCATCTAATTACTATTACCTTAAGCAAAATTTGGGGAGAACATTTAGAAACAGAGAGAATTTTGCCAGAAAGAAAAAAATAGGATTGTGAAATTTACGAGATATGTCCTTGTCTGCAAAGGCTCTCGCTCTAACTTTGGAAATGAGAAGATCAGGCAGGATGGGGGAGCCGGCAAGAGGGAACTAGGGCCTGCTATCCTGAGAATGTCCTCATTGTTTTCCAGTGAGGTGTACAAGCACAGCATGGACCCTGAGAATGGACACTGTATATAAGGAGGACAGATGTAAGAGCCTGAAAATATTACAGTGAAATCCAGTAATAAAGGCTGCGGAGAATCTCTTCAGAATTTCTGGAAAAACTTAGAGTGGATGATCAGTAGCTGAATATTTGTAGGTGAAGAGTAGCAGTAATGTTATTAAGGTGTTTTAAAAACAAAGCAAAGCTCAAATTTTTATGACTCATTAGAGAGTATAGTGGATTATATCCAGAAGATGAATTATGGTTTTGAAATTGGGTGCTATATACTTAGCAAATTGTTACTCCTTCCATTGTTGAATATCTGCTTTTGCTTTTAGAGTACTTGATTATCTGAATAAACATTTCCTTAGGTTTATTTTGGTTTTTTTTGGGCACATATCTATGTGCTTTTTCTTTTTTTTCTCTCTCTCTGTCTCTTTTTTTTTTTTTAATGTTATCTTTGAAAGACTGAGCAGGCAAACTTTTAATGGAGTCCTGGAGGGAGCTTCTAAGGGGTTCTACTGTTGGCCTCCATTTAAGAACTGTGTGATTTGGGGTAAAGATGTTAAATCCTTTGGGCCTCAGTTTCTTCACCTGTAAAGTACGCATATTAAACTATCTACTACAGGTCCTTTTCAATCCTAAAGTTCTACTCTTATATGAAAACATCTTCCCCTTCTTCAATCCTCTGTGCTCAAGCTGTGTAATGTGCTTTTATTAATGGCACCTGAAAACAAGATAGCCCTCCCTCATTATGGCCCAAAGATAAATTAACATAATGGCAAGCAGTTATATACAAAATTGACAATTATGCAAATACAGTGGGTGGCCCAGTGGGCACTGTATTTCTTCACAATTTGAGATGAGCATTTTGTCTTCTTGCTGACCCTGTATTTAATGACCCCTACATCTCATCTATTGAGATCTTCTTCCACCCCTCCCATCAAGTTAAAGAAAACATTTTTATTTCTCCCTGTTACTTTTTCTATCCTCTGGCACCACCTTCTTTCTTTATATTAGAATTTGATTTCCTATTGCATTGTGGCCCAAAGAATAATTGTTATTATATTCTACTTCCTAGGTGTCCAACCAGATATCACTTTATCGGGAGAGAGGCAGGGAGGAATTCGCTGAGCTCTGTGCAGGACCTGTGCTCAGTTGCTACACAGTGAAGCTTTCCTAAGTATTTGTTACACAGCCAGTATCAGAGAGCTTTATCTTTTTCAGCACTGACAAGATGTACTGATGTATTGCCTCATGTTTACCTGCTTTGTTTAGTTTCGTGGGACCAAGGAGTGATACCTAAGTGGTTAAACCCTCAGAACCAGGTCTACATGGAACATTTTAGTGGGCTGCAGATGTGTCCGGTGTTTCTCCAGATTGGCTGGAGCTACATTATTTTAAATTATTCTTTGGGGGCATCCTTATCGAGTCTAGAAGTAGGGACTCATTTTTAGCATCCTATTAGCTTCCTTTTAATGATCTCCTTCAGATTCTCCAACAGATACCTCATGTATGACCATCTTTAGGGGCTGCTAATTAAGTAATAACATTTAACTTATGTAAGTGTTATTTTTTAACTCAGGTTGCAAACCTTTCATCAACTTCATTAGCTTACAATAAATATTGCAATGCCACATTACATAGGAATTTTACGCCAGAAAAATATCAGAGTAGGGGGCAAAAAAAGTAAAACCTCAAAAAAAAAAAAAATCAGTAGGTGTGAAAGAGAATAAAGAACAAAGAAATAATAAAATATAGTTAGTGAATCATAAGTTTACCACATTTTTCATAGGTCCCTAAATTGCTGGCCTAGAAAGCTGATAACACTGTTTATCTAGCCATTAGCAACAACCACCAAAGAAAAAAATTCCACCTACTCATCAGCATTCTAACTCATCGTATTGCCTGTGCCAAGTGACACCCTGAAAAAGATAGTCCTTTGAAGCTTGTCTTGCCAAACAGCTATTATTTCTGGTATAGCTACATGACTATACGTAGGGGGAGTCGATGCTTAAGTCTTCCAGCATGCTCGTATGTCCATCATTGGGCATTGGTAGATGCTGTCAGATCACCAGACTCACTGGCACACGCCGAGTGACAACACCGGGGACCTGGAGTGATTGTGTTTCTCAGACTCCACTGGGTACCTTATTGATCTCTGTAATCCACAAAATATGTATGTGAGCTTTTCCAAGGTTAAAGAGTGAATCCACTGTTCTTAGGTCTCATTGATTGCAATTTTACAATAGGCTGGCAGGACTTAAGGATGTGTGTGTTTGGTATGAAAAGTTTCCCTGGAAAAGGTCTAAGAAAAACTGAAATCAATACTGCAATGCTACATTATACAGGAGTTTGAAATCGGGAGGTTGAGTATCTACTTCAAGCTTTTCCTCTTGGTTAGGAACTTAGGAGGTGCCTCAAAATATCAGATCTGTTCTGTGGCAAAAGCAGCACTTCTAACGAACAGCAGAAAAGCAAATAAATCACCTTTCCCTCTTTGTAGTAAATCATTTTGTTTTTTCTGTAGATTGCATGTGGTGTTTGAGGCAGAGCGAGAGGCCTGCCAATATTGCGAGCTAATGCTTCAGCACCTTTCATTTTTCACTCTGAGCAGGAAACCTCTTCTTAAACTTGTTCATTTTACAGAGGGAAAATCGAAATCAGTGGCATATTGTCAGAGCTGCTTTATTGTCATCATTTACAAAGGTCCTAGAATTAATTGACTTCTTACATTACATATTGTGAAGTGACTCATTTTTTGACACATTTATGGGAAAGTGGCAGCATCTAAGTGGCTGTTATTGTCTTCTGGTTTTGGCTCATATTATAAACTAGGAAACCAATAATAACTCTGAAATCATAGTTGTAGGAAAAAAATAACATGCAGTTTGAAAGAAGCAGGCTCCATTAACTATTTGGTTAGTTGAACTAAAGGAAGGGAGGAGAGAGCTCCAGAAGATGAAATGTAAATACTAGGTTTGTTTTAATGTCTTTACAGGACCCATTAAAGAGGGTAGCGAATATTTCCATGAACATCCTCAACTGAGGTCTGTTTGAAAGCATATTCTAAGTAGCTAGCTTCCTTATACAAGATTGGAAGTAAAAATTAACCCACACCGTATTCCATGAATCATCGCTACATGGATGCTCATAGTTTACTGAGAGTAATTCTGTCTCAAAGGCATTGCTTCTGAAACTAAAGAGGAGAAGCGTAGGATATGACTAATATTTATAGTACCAGGGCACACTATTTTCTAGGGAGAAATTTTGAATCCTTACTTCTTCCCTTTTTATTTTTCACATTATCCCCTTTTCACTTTAGGAAGATTTTACTCATATTCTTAGCCTGCTTTCACTAAAATCAGAGGCACGGAAACAAGGACATATTGTTAAAAATGAATAAATTAAAGACGAATTAAACCATCTAGCTCAATAACAGCAAAGGGAATATAGCAATTGGTTTGAACAATCTTCTTAAATAGGAAATGTACTTTAAAGCCACCCTACTGTGATCCTGTTAATTACCAGAGAAGATGCGAACTCTTCTGGTTCGTGGGATCCCTCTACCTAGCGTGTGTCAGTTCCAGCTTCATTAGCAATCAGACATTTGCACTGTCCCTTCAGACCAGCGAGGGGATGTTATTAAAGGGAAGTCATTTACCCCAATCCGTAAGATGTAGCCTGGCAGAAATTCAATAACTGTTTGTGATATGCTCATTCCGCCACTCTGCTTAGTGGTTTTAGCTCTTGACATACAGCAGCATTTGCCTTAATCCCCATCCACTGGGTGAAAGGGAGAAAAATGCCCCATTTAGGGGGTTGGTTTGAAAACCCAGAATGACGTGTGATCTGCTTTTCATTACAAATAATGTGAAGAAAAAGGAAAATCCCCCCCCTCCACCCAGCTCCTTCTCTCCTTTCATCTCCTCTCCCACTGTCCCCTTCTCTTCCCTCACCCTCCTCTCTCTCCTCCCCCCAGCACCGCTTTTTCTCTCCCACTCACATCCTCTGATGGGCGTTCAAGCTAGTAAAATGCATGTTGGAGAATCCCACAAGCACAGCCAGGCATACACAGAGCCAGAGGGCTTTTGCATTTGAATTTCTTCTCAAAAGTAAAACGGACAGAAAAATGCTCTTAGAATTCAGACAAGAAGAAAAACATCAAAGGAGAATTTAGGTGTAAAACAATGATTATCAACTAAGCAAGAAATAGAGCATATTTAAATAGAAACGTATTTTTTAAACTTACCTTGCAAAGGCAGTTTCTGTGTTACAACACCTCCGGTGTCCCTGCGTGCTGGATTCCTCCGTTCCTTAGTTGCGAGAATCACATGGTTGTCTTCTTACCCGGGTGTAAATAGGTGCATGTGTGTGTACGTGTATAATAAAGTATACAGAAACATGAACTATAGATGTACACACATGCAAGCGATCTTGTCTCTGTATTTTAAAATATAAAGGAAAGCAGGAGGCTGCAGCCAGGATTTCCTTCTTTTTCCCGGAACTCTCTCTCAGTTGGCAAGCTGAGGCTCTCAATCCAGTGAAGAGAGATCCTGCAAGCTGGTTTTATTTCTTCTTATTTCCATGGTGGTTAGTGGTGCATCGTTCACCCGATCAGTTGTCACACTGACATGGTGCTGCCTGCTCAGCGGTCATTAATAACTGAACACCCTCCACTCCCCAGAGAGGAGCCAATCGCTTCGGACTGCCAAGATGTAGCACTCGCAGCTGCTCCCGTCTGGTTGGCTGAAACAACCTGTCTGTTCTATGACACTGCTGCTTAGGATACAAATAAATGAAACAGGCTTGCATATTTTCCTAGGTACCAATCCCTTCCTTCCTTCCTTCCTCCTTTCCTCCCTTCCATCCTCCCTCCCTTCCTTCCTTTCTTCCTTCATTCCTTCCACCTATCCTTCCTTCCTTCCTTTCTTTTTTTGAGAAGGAGGAATTTTTGACAATTTTCCCGTTTTTAGGTTATCCGTCATTTGGAGAAACTGTGTTTTCTCTCTGAAAATAGCAGGGCACTACTAATAAGGATTTCCCAAATACTAAAAACAACTGGGAGGGATGCAGAGCCTCCGACACCCTCTCTGTGAAGTTCACCAGTGGCTGTATTATTTAAGAAGAGAAGCTTGAAACTGTTTTGAATGGCATTTAATTCTCTATAGGTCTTACTTAATTTAGCATGTATACTTGCTATTCACTAACACTTTTTTTTTTGAAGCAATGACATTTCTTATCTGGATTGACCAGCTTTTTAAATAAAGCATGTATTTGCTTCTCTATAATTCACAACATTGGCATATATGAGGGGGTATTTTTAAAAATATATATTTCCGATTACATTCACTCCTCCTTATGTGATGTAATTAATCTGTCAGCCACATATGAATGGGTAGCTGTGTCGGGGTGTTTGTGTGGATATCCCTGTGTGTGTGTGTGCTTTACTACTGGGGGAGTATTTTAACTGTGATAAATTACATCCTTAAGAAATTGATTTTTCTTTATTCTTAGACATGTTAATTCTGGATGCATATTTACTGGGAAGATATACTATATGCATCACATATGTGAAATACTTATTGAGTTATCAGAAATTTGGAAAAGAAACACAGAAAAGCATAGCAGTGTATATTTCTGAAAGAACATCTATGAGTAAATAGACAGCAATTTAAAAAATGCGTGTTTTACAAGCTTAATTAGTGTACTAGAGAAACATCTTGTTGAGGGGAATGGAACATGAGGATTAATTTATCAACAGGTCAAAAACAGGCTGGATTCATGACTCCAGCCCTAGTTTTGAGAGACTACCCTCTAGTGGAGTAAAAAGAAATGACATATTTTCATGTTTCTGGATTTACTTGCTGGGGGCCTGGCCTGCTGTGGGGGCGGGGGGGGGTCGGGGGGAGTTCACATCTAACTGCTCCTTACGTGTTTACTGAAATGACATAGACCAATAGTTTGCAGTTATTATAATCATGATACTAGGAAATTTTAAAAAGCTTTGTTTCTAACTGCTAAATATTTTCTGTAATGTTCTTTAAAAAGTTCCCAAATGCTTTATTTTTTCCTTTCATAAAAATTTGTTCAGATGGTTCCCAACCTATAATAAAAATAAGTTCAAGGTAAAAGTATTTCCTTGCTTAATCAAATAAGACTTATTTCAGAATGTTATTGTCAGTTGTTATTCTTTACTAGACACTCTGTTGTCTGCTCTCTAAATGTTAGGGATTTATGGTTGAGTGTTGGGGACGTTGTGATGGAGTGTGTCTACATATAATTTAATGTACTTGTGATAATAGTAATTACTCCTCCTCCAATTTTACTCTCTCTAGCTTCAATATCTGGCGTATTCCAAATCATTTCAACACTTGCAGGATTTTATTCCACTTATGGAAGAATTATATTGAAATGGTGAAAATTATTTGAAAAAGGAATTTTAGTTTTATATAATTCGTTCCTTAAACATTTCATTTTGGTTGATTGGTGTTGACTGCATAATTGAAAAATCCAGTAATCAAACCAATTATAATGTATTCCCATAATGAAGGTAAGTGATGGTAATCAAACAGATATATAATTAAACTACCTTCTTGGTTTATAAATGAAACTAACAATCATACCTAATATCCTAAATTTCAGTCTCTTTCAGAAATCAGAGAAAAATTTTTTAAGTTTTAATTTAATGAGAACTGAGGAGTATTTTAAATGCTGCCTTACACTTTATCATAGGAAGTTGTTTTAACTAAATGATTGCCCCTTTTTTGGCATATGGAAGATGAGATTGCTTTTCTTACACTTGTCCTTTTAGGGTAGGCACATGATAAATTCAAAAGATTTCATATCCATTTTTATAAATTTAATATCATGGAACATTAGAAGTGAGATGTCAACATGGGAGCAAAAATGACTCTGGTTTTGGATGAAAAGGATGAGGATTTGTTCTTTGGCTATAGTTTCATTCTTGCTACAAAAGCATCAGCAGCTTAGTAGAATCAGTGTGTATTTCAGGTGATTTTCACTTATCAGTCAGGATAAATCATAAATCCAGTCATTTGCTGGATTTATGAAAGGTAGCTCTCCAAAAAGATTTGTTAAAAACTTATTTAGATATCACATCTGTATACTGAAGTACTGTATGAAGACATTATATTGTGATGGGATAAGGATTTCAGTGCATTTGGATTAGTACAATTGTAAATAGGCATTAGGTTAGAACCATAGAATCTTAGAACTCCAATGCCCTGAGTCCTAGAAGGTCCAGGGACTTGTCTAGGTGCACACAACTGGTCTGAGGGAGTAAGAGCAAGAACCCACCCAAGGTCTCCCAAGATTTTTCCACATGTTACCCCCTCATCTACTGGATAATTGATAGATCTCTGCTTTTTCTTTTCTCCCTCCTTTCCTTTTTCTTTCTTTCTCAAGTGTTTTCCATTAGAATCCACTAAAACTTCAGAGAAGTTTCACATTGCAAATACACTGTATTACATGGATATGCATATCAACTATCTTGTAGTAAACGTCTACAGGGTTTCCAGAATGAGTATTCAATTCTAATGAAAATATACTTGAATGATTTTTAAACATAAATGAATAATTAAAACCCTTAAATTATGTTCAAAGTGTTCTGCCTTCATCATCAAATAATAAAATATAAGGGTGCAATAAATATTCAGTGATTTAGTGGTTGAAGTTAGTAATTTGTGAAGGTTTATTGCTATTTCATAGAGTCGTGGGTGGTGTTTGCCTGTGTGCTTTTGTTAGAGAAGTTGCCCAGGTAGTCGATCAGAGAGTAAGCTCTGGGGACAGGCTGCCTGGGTTTGAATGCTTACCTTGTCACTTCCAAGTTTTGTGACCCTGAGCAAGATGCTTGACATCTCTGCATCTCAGTTGCCTCCTAGGATTATTATGAGGATTAAAGTAGTTGATATATGTAAAAGCTGAGAAAAGTACCTGGATCATCGTGAGCTTGAATGAGTGTTTGACGGCACCATTATGGCCGTTATTATCGCTGTCGTCATCATCATCATCATCATCATTTGTTCTAGCTTTCCCTTTTGTTTGGAATGACCTTCCTGCTTCCACTCCAAGTCCCTGCCTCTCACACATCTACCTAGTCCTAAATAAGTTAGTTCAAATGTTACTTCCCCTCTAGAATCTTCTCTGAACCTCCTAAAAAGATATGATGTCTCATTTGAACCACAATAATATTCTTTATCCCTCCTATCACTTATCACTTTTTTTAATGTATTATAATTATTTCTACAATTCGACCTGTTTCCCTTTTTAGCTTATAAGATTCTCCTGGAGGGTGTCTATTTCTTATTCATAGCACATAAAACTTGGAGAAAACAACGTTTGTTGAATACTAACTGTGTATGTTTTAAAGGTTATTTAATTTTCACAACATCTTTATAAGATAGATATTTTTATCCTTATTTGACAGTGTACAAACATTGGCTCAGAGGAGTTAGGTTACTTGCCCAATGTCCTAAAACTATTAATTAGTGGGGCTAAAATTTGAAGTCAGTTCAGTCTGCCTACAGAACTGAGGCTCTTTCCACTGCACAAGGCACTTAATGTTCATTTGTAAAATAAATGAATGCTTGATTGATGACTAAACCAATCAATTCAATATAGTCAGCAACAAGGGATGCTAAAAATAAAATACTATTTATAAATAGGAATGAATTTTATGCACTAGAGAGCGGATGCTTTTATATAGTTATGGTTGTTCAGTGTTAATGACAGAATTTTTATTGCTGGCATGATTTCAGAAATAGAGCTCTGAAGAAATGTAGTGTCTAGAACGAAAGATAAGTTGATATGCTCAGAAAGCTAAATAAACACGAGTGGACCACTGATGAGGAGGGCTGACATTGTGCTAGGAATGTCTTCAGTGACATTGTCCTTTGTAGTCTAATTCTCATAGCAGATTCACTCTTTTTTTTTTTTTTTTTTTGAGGAAGATTAGCCCTGAGCTAACATCTGCCGCCAATCCTCCTATTTTTTGCTGAGGAAGACTGGCCCTGACCTAACATCTGTGCCCATCTTCCTCTACTTTATATGTGAGATGCCTGCCACAGCATGGCTTGACAAACAGTTGAAGAACAACAGTAATTTTACCACTCTAGGAAATTCACACCAAGAATGAGAAAGATCTCAGAAATTAAGGAGACAAATCTGTCTCTCTGTCTGTTCCCTAGATTCCTTTCTCCTTCCTGCTCTTTGTCTTTATCTTTCTATAGACCCAAACTATCTCTCATTTTGGCTTCTCTCTGTACATGTCTTCATTCTTTTCTTTCAGAGGATTGACTTTTCTTCTCTAGCCATCTAAATAAATGGTGAAATAGTAAAATAAAATTTTTAAAAACTATAGCTGGTAGATAGATGGGTAAGTAGCCAGATAGATAGGTAAATAGTTGGTAAGTTGTACAGAAATAACTGAAAATAAATATGTCACTAAAGGAAATATACCAAACCGTTGGAAGTAGTTACCATTGTTGGGATAATGGGTGGTTTTTATTATTTTTTTATGCTTTTCTAACTTTCTGCAGTCAATAGATATTTCATAATCTCAAAATAGCTATTATTTTAAAAAAATAGGATATAAAGTTATTTTAGAGTAAAATTTTACTTCTATAACTGGACATTTCATATTTAGTAAAATATCTAACCTTCCTAACTTAGTATTCAATTGTAGCCATGGTGTAATAATTGAAACAGTAATAACAACAATAATGGTAGACAACATTTATCAAGCACATCTTGTGCCAAGTAGTCTGGTTAGAGTTTTTCATGAATTGTCTCATTCAATCATCCCTGTTAGAATACGAAAGAACTTTTAGTCTCATTTTACAGATCAGAAAACTGAGGGCTGAGTGTACAAAAACTCACATAGTTGTTCACTGATGGAGTCCACAGTCAAACCAAAGTCTATCTGACTGCAAGGCTGACGCTTGTCACCATTATACTACACTAACTCTGATACGTCATTCTCTATATTTCTAATTCCAACATGTCTCACCCCTCAGCCACATCAAATGCCTTACCATTTTCTGAACATAGTCTTGCATGTTTCACTCTTAGTTGTTTATTTCTTTTGCAAGCATGCCAGTTCTATAAGGCTTCTGCTCAAAAATCCCATCCTTTAAGAAGCACCGCCTGTCTCAATGAAAATAAGTGTGTTCCTTATTTTATCTCATAAATTTACTTTTTGTTATTGTATTTCTCTTGTTCCACATGTATTATGATTTGTGGTTTATTTTTGCCTAGATGGCAAGAAACTTGCAGGCAGAAGAGATGTCACTATTTGCTTTGTATATTCAGTAATACATTTTATATATTAAAAGATCAATATTTGATTAATTAGATCTCACTGAGTGACTAAAGGAGTAATTTACTACTCACTTCTGTGTGCTGGTTTTGTTCCAAACATTTGAGTAAAATCGGATAATCGTCTAGC